TTCATGTGGAAATACTAGCATACTAGAAACATCGGTTTGCTTTGATGTAACTGATTAGTGATTAAAAAGCAGATCTATTCAGGTGTCATACTTTTATTTAATATGAGTGATTGTCATAAATACTGCTGTTTTCTTATATCTCATGAATCTCAGCTGTATGGCCCTGGGAAGCTGCAGGAGGTGCAGCCTCCGTTTATGGACTTGGAAAGACAACACTCCCAAAACAAGTTGTTCAGTGTTGTCTGTCATCGCAAAAAAATTCCTCTGCCCACTCCTTCCTGTTGCCTTCTGGGTGGGAGATGATCCTGTGAGCTCGTGGGATGTTGCTGTTAGCTCCTCACGACCACACTGAGTTTTCCAACTCCCCTAACGCTACTGCTGTGATACAACCATATACACATACAACGTGGCACTGAGCAAAATAACGAAATTGTGACCAAGGTGAAGATGCTGATGATTTTGCAGGGCATGTTTGAGGAAGCAGGGTGTGTAAACGCACAGTGCTGACGTTTGCCACCCCTGTTCCCTTGATCCCCAGGGCTACCAGAGCACTGAAGTGATGTCGGGATGCAACATGCTGCCTACAGGCAGATTCTTCCTGAGAAAAATAAAACCTGGGAGTCCAAGCCCAAAGTGTGAGGATTTAACTTTTAACTTTGATTGAAATGTATTTGTAGGACAAGTGACTTGCAGATTAGCTTCAGTATAAGTGTTGAATCTCTTTAGTGAGTAAAGCTTTCACTTGACTGCAAGAAAGCCATAGCTTTTTGTATCTCTTCTATAGTAACTATTATATGTATAGCTGGTACATATGCATTAGTGAAGCACCAAAGCCAGCTCAGGGGCAAATTATTGACTATTTCCATTGCCAAAAAAGCTGGAAGGCTGCTCATTCGTATAAGATGTTTGTTGTAATATTTCTGCTAAGCCCGTACAAACGACCTATTATATACTTGTCTGCTATTTGGAATGATTCTGCCTCTGAAAGTTTAGTTTTAAAAAGTGACTATGGAATAGATGTATGTTTGTCTGGAATAAACATCAGATAAGAGCAAGAAAGACTTGGTCCATCAGACACAGAATTATGGATAGTGGTTCAGATGTTCATGCTTTGAATTGGTCATATCCAGAAGTCTTCAACTAGTTAAATTATTTGGACAAAGGTTGTATGAAACTGCCATTTTATTTGTGTTAGTACCTCTGTTAATACTATACAGGTCATGTAAAAGTTGGGTAACTACCCTTGTAGGTGTATCTGCAGAAAAGCACATCTAAACCAGATCATTAATGATTAATTTCCAGCAGTTGTGTATATACATTTATATCTTATGCTGTAACCACTTCAAAACCAGACTTTTCATCTCCTCTCATTCCCAGAAAACAGCTTCAATCCGCTCTACTAACAGAAGTCTTTCTTTGCTGGTGTTATAGGAAATAGAAGTTAATGGTGTCTAACCAAGTAATGCTTAGTATTTCCCATAATAAACCCTAGGTCATTGCCAATATTTGCTATATACTACTGGCGTTTAGGACAGATTAGGGTTTTTTGCCATTATAGTAAACAAGATTCAGAATACCCTGGGAATAAGAGAGGGACAGCCTCACAACTGGGTAATTGCTAATAGTGAATTAAACTTCCCTTCTCTAAACTAACTCTAGGAAGGGATTCCCCCTCAAACCTGCTGCAGCCAGATAATTTGTGTATCTTCCAATCTACTGTTCATCTTTTGTCTAAGAAATTACTTAAAAGAAGATACACTGTCTCTGTCCCAGTTTTCTCTGCTGCATTTTAAGTGCTACTAGCAAACAGGGATGTGGTGAACTGTTTACTTGAACTTCATATTACAATTTCAGGTCCACAGAGCTGAAGCAGGTTTGACTTGGGAGCAGAACTAATATTTTTCTGTCATGAACATTCACTAAAGACTTCCTCTGTATTCCTGACTGAGTGTGACATTTAGAGTAGAAAAGCACAATCATATCTGCTCAAATCTTTTCAGCTGCATCTAGTGTAATTGCCAAATGGAATCTTGTGATAGCATAAGTGCTTGATTTATTGTAGTCAGCCTGTGAGATTTCTAATAAAGTTGCATAATGCTAGGCTGCTATACAAAGCCTGGTATCTGCAATGACATAAACCCATCTCTTTTCCTGTAGGAAAGGTGGTTGTAGTGACATCTGAAATGTGGTCTGAGGGAACACTACTGGCTAAAAAGGAGCAGCTGATTTTTTGTTATTCTGGGAGGCTGAGCATATGGTGCAGCACAAGGCCAAGCAAGTGTCTCCCTGTGCTTTGCCAGCCTGTCTCTCAGTGTGCCCTGCAGTCTTCTCTCCCTGCTTGGCAGGCAAAAGTTTTGCATTCCTCTGTTCCAACTTACTAGATATAGTGGTAAGACCTTGCCTTTCCCTATAAACTTGGCTTTGTCAGACATGCTAGGAAGTCACGGCCCAGTAACTGTGTGGGCAGTCTAATGCCCGGATTACAAATGGGAGGACGTCTTTCATTTCACTCCTTGCACTGCACTTTGTCGAACTTGTGTCTGTGTTTTGCCACAATATTATTAACAGTGGTGTCCAAATTATCTCCACAAAGTACTGACGCTGGCCTCTGCCCCACTGTTTCCTCTCTGTCATATGGTTGGTTGAGCTCAAAGACGAAGGCAGCATTTGTTCTAGAATAAAATTAAACAGCTCTTAAAAAGCAAGGAGAACTGGTCTGAGCCTTGATTAGAGCCAAGACCCTTCAACTGATACTGTTTGCTAAAGAAACGTTTATATTTCCTTGGCATTAACTTTATCTGAAAGGTGGGATCTCACTGACATTGAAGTATTCTAGTGCAATTCTGTGAGACTGAAACATCTCACAAGCTTATTAGACAAATCCTATGAAATCAAGAACACGGGAAAGTCTAAAAAAGAGGAAATACAGTGGTGTAGCAGTGGATTGGTAATTCGTTTGATCAGATTTTCAGGCATTGAGTTAATACTTTGGGATGGAGAGTTGATACTTCCAGTAGAGAGCTCAAATGCTTAACTGTGTTTAGGTGGATTGTGCTGATGCTGGGTGCTTTCCACAAGGCAAAATCTCAAATCTCCAGGCAAATACGCATTTTTGGGTGCTCCACAGCTGCATCTTTAATCTCCAGTGCAAATGGCCTGCTCAGTTTTCTAACAGTACAGCTCAAAATTTGGTTTTGGGACAGCATGGCTATTGCCCTTTCCCTTTTAATTACAGTACCACAGATGCTTTGGGAGACAAATTATTTGTCACTCTGAAAAATGAATCCAGATGCTTGCTTGTGCAGGAAGAATTAAGGTCTGTGGTTCATACCTGGTGTTGCATACACTGTGTGGATAAGAAGCAGCTCTCTCTACAGCTGAGCTGGATGCCTGTTGCGTTGGCACAGGAAGCTCAATATTGCAAGTGGCTTCTCAGAAGCAAAGACACTGTCAACTCAGCTCAGGTTACAGAGCTCATGAAGTGTGTACCAAGCTGAAGGCAACGAAAAATCGTGCAGCTTCTTTGAGATCGGTGTGCTACTGATTGATTAATAGACAGAAAAAAAAAAACCATGAGCAGATCAAGCAAGAGAGGGCTATCTGACAGTAATAGCACAACTGGTTCCACTGTGATTAGCCTGTTTTCACTTAAATTTAGGTATCAGTTGTGACTAATGCCCTTCTCTTCTGCAGGACGTGCCAGTCTGTGAACGTCAGGTTGTGCATGGGACAGACTCAGTCACTAGCACAACGTCACATATAATGTACCAGTCTAAAGGAGGCATAATGCCTTATAGTAGCTATACCATGTACCAAAATTACTTTAATTTCAGCAAGGTTAAACCTGAAATGGGTTTGGTCCCTCAGAGAATCAGAGCAGGCCTTTAACTAGACCTTAATCAGTCCATTTGCAGAGCTGAGAAGAGTTGTCCTAGGTACCCTCCCCTCTGACCCAGAGTTGTGGGTTGAAAAGGCATGAAAAATAGGCTTTGTAGCCATAGCTGATACTTTGGAGGTTGTGATAATGCCCCAAGCAATGGGGTAGCAATTCCAGCAGCTGACTGGAGAGAGAGAAATTGTGAGTTTGCACTGAACTTCTGGTGGAGACAGACTCTGCTGTTACCTTGGAGCTACAATGTCTGTAATAGGACTAATTAACATTCAAGGCGAAAAATCATTACTTCTGAAACATAGCTTTTATTCTCTAATACTTATAGTATCAGCTATCACGTAATGTGAACCTTGAGAGAAACGCTTTTGTAAGTAAGAACACCACCTTAGCTTATCAGGCTAACTCGCACCACCTAACTTACTGAGCAGATTTAAAGAGTCAACAGTCCCTTGTTTCACTATTTCCTACAGTAATTATTTGGAATACTTTGCCAGTATGCACAGGCATTAAAAGACTCCAGCATGAAATCTTCTGGCATTATTACATAAGTCAAATCGGAATTAACTACAGCCCCTACTCTCTCCTTCCTGGGAGGAAACAGAGGTGCTTCACTAAAATGATGTAGAAATTCCCACAGTTAGGAACATAGGGATGGCCCACTGGTTGAATCAAGAGTTGTACAGCTCAATATGACGTTGGCCAGCTGGAGATTAGAAAGAAGAGTATAAGGACAGGAAGAAGAAACAAGCTCTTCATAAAGAGAGCGGTCAAAGCCTCAAACAGGTTTCTGAGAGAGGCTGTGAAATTTCCATCCTTGGAGATACTCAGAATTCAAACAAGACAAAGTCCTGAGCAATCTGATCTAACTTTGAACTTGGCCTGGTCTTGGGCGAGGAGTGAGGGTCCTTGGACCAGGTGGCCTCCAAAGGTCCCTTCTGCCCTAAATCACCCTGAGATTGTCATATTCCCAACCTCCAGTTATCTGTGGTAGGTGGGGCCTCCTGAACCAGATGCATGGCTCTCTATTTAGTAGCCCCTCATGTTTGAATTCCCCTCTCTGAATTCGTCCATGGCTTTTTTTGAAGCTCTATAAACTTCTGTTACTCACAACATTTCGGAGCAAAGTGTTGTACAGCTTGTCTGCGCTGCTAGCTGCCGCCTTCAGTTTCCATCGAAAGTGCTTGTTTCCTGTGATGCCTTCTACCTCCTGTGTTATAAAATACAATAAATGTCACAATTGATTTTAGAGATGACTAGCATGTTCCCCATCCTTCCTAATTTACAAGAAGGGAAAGCTGGTCCTCGGGCAGAGATGTATGATCCCACTTAGTGTCCTGAGAGGCCTGGCGCACTGCAAATGGTCGTGGAGGCAGGCTACAGGCTTGGGTTGTACAGCCCAAAAGTAACGTGGTGTTCTTGGCTATCTGAACAGCACGGCTTGTCCTTGCTTGTACCGAGTGGTTTAAAACATGCCATGGATGACGATAGCTCTCTTCAGTTGGCCAGACCCTCAGGTAAAATGTCCAGATCTTGTTTATCTTGCATCTTAATTATTCTGTGAGACATATTGTGCAGTTGTTTCCCTGATTCTGTCTGGTCTTCTAAAGACTTTAAAGTTGTGTGACAAAGGTTATGTCATGGACCAAAATGTATTCCTTGGGTCAATGCCCAGGAAGCCGTCTAGCACATCCCGCCCTTTATTTGCATGAAGAAATTGAGAAGTTAATATGAGGAATTGCTTTTTATGCAAGAGACACAGGAATATTCATCCAATAGCCATAAAAACCAAGAGATAATATTCTGATTCATCCTCTGTGTGTTAAAGGAGAAAATCAAAAGACAAAAGGGTGGCTTGTGCTGGCTTTGTTTTCCTCATGCAGTCAGTGCTGGAGCTGGGCATTGCATTAGCAGACCTGTTAATAAAATATTCCATAACAGCCAGAGCAGCTAATGCTTAATGGAAAAACATGAACTGTTCCATTGGGAAACAATTGCCCTTTATGCAAGATGCATTTATTCTCTCCCCCTTTTGTTCAAGGAATCTTACTTGGAACAAAAAAAAGCTTGTCCCTTCAGACGTCCTCTGTTCATGCTGCTTACTCCCCAAACCAGAATCATAATCCCTTGTTTGGACGACATAATCAGTTACACAAATATCAGATGAGATAGCACAGACAGATTATAGCTTCCAGCAGGACGAGGGAGGATGGGTCAAGCTTTAAATACCTCTGCCTTTATGCAACTGTTTTTCCTAAGGATAAAGCAAGAGCAATATAAACAAGAATTCTTTAAGCAGATGGCCTTTAGTAACCTCTCCATGAGACATGGGCAGCTTGTAAATAGTAAGCGGTCCAGAGAGCAAGCCCTGACTGAAAGGGCTTTCCAGACCTGGGTGCAGAAAGCCTTGTTGCACAGCTGAAGGGGAGGATGCTATGGGAAAACTTAATGCTATTGGGAAAAAAAAAAAAAAAAAAAAAAAAGCCAGATAATTATCAGTAAAGAGTGAAAGCCACTGTAGAAGATAAAATTCTTGCTCAGTTTTAAACCGTAGTTGACAGCTGACTTTGCAGCTATTTAGTGCAGTGGTTGTTAACTTGGGAAGATGGAGGATACTTTTAGGAGCCATAAACTGTAGGTTGCTTCATTTTCTCATTTGATGTGACAGGGAGGTATCCTGCCCTTGGTGTAGGTCACACTTCTGTTTCCTTAGGGGTGTTGCTAAACTTTTAAGGAAAAAGGGAAGTTTGACCTGTTGTGATTTAAGTATCGGGTGCAGTGTAATGTGTGACATGCACCTGTTTCTAATCCAGATCCATAAATAGATCCTTGAGAGTCCCCACAAATCCAGCCTATTCCCCTGACAAATTTCTCCATATGTATGCTTCACACTTTGCATGACTGAGCTCAAAAACTGAAAGATTGAAATCTTTCCCTGATTAATATTTTCAAGAATTGTAATTTTCCAAACTAAGTTAAAGGATGTTCAAGCTGTACAAATTGGAATCACTATTTCTGTGATCCAACACTGTGAATAAAAGCTCCAGTGGCTTCTTTAAAGATTTCTCTTACACCGTACTGGAGCTGGTACATCTTGAAACTGGCTCACCTCAACTGTCTGTTCATTTAACAATCCAATTGACTGCTATCCATGTATGTTTATACAGGGCATATGGAAAGACTTTTTCTAGGTTGTGAGGAGTCTGCAGGTAGAGGAGATAATATGGAGAGGAGGGTTTTGGTGAAGATGAAGAGTTTTGAAATTGTGTGCACAGATGTCTGGAAACTTACTCAGCCAGCCCCAGATGCAAATGCAAAGCAGGTAACCTGCCCAAATGTCTGCTTCTGGTGTGATTGCCATATATTAAATTTTCTTCTGTATCCTCACTTTCCTAGCTGGGAAAGGATGTTGACTGAGACTTCTCAATGAGTTCACTTCTGTCTTGGTTACGTAGCAGTTGTTTAAGCCAGCAGTTTTGATTACTTGTACAGGAAAGAGTGCAGATAAAATTCATTCTTACATCTTACTGAGACCTTCATCTCCTAAGTCTAGCATGTTACGGATTGATGGATTTGAGTCAGAGGTCAGAAATAAAAAACATGAGCCACTTGATTTTACTTGTGCTATCAGACAACTATTGTAGGGTGCTTGAGGGTCTTTTGCTGGGTAGGATTTGGAGACAACCATTGCCTCTTTAATATTGGATCTGAGATACTGTGTGCAGAGCTGTGAAACACAGCTAGCCATTTCACGTACTCAAATTGGGTAGGAAAACTGCAGCTTAGTAATCATTGCCCTATTGGAATGATTGTCACCAGAGGAGGATTAAATGTATAAATGCATGCAGAGTTAGATGACCATTTTTGCAAAGTGTTTCCATACTTGGCTGAAAAACTGCAGTGGGTAAAGATGCTTATTTTCCCAGAAGAGCATAGTAACAGTAATAATTAAAAAGCCAGGTTTGACTGCATTAACCTGAGTCTTTATGAGATGGAATTCTAAACTAGACTTTACCTTTAGCATGCCACAGTAAAAACTGGATGCTTGGGGAAGAGATTATGAGAAATGAATTAGGAAACTTGTCTGGCAAAGCTTTTTTCACCTTTTACCAACACACATGTAAATTGTGTAGGCTGCATGCCCAGTGTGGGTGTAAGGCTTAGTTATGATTCAGCTAAATGGAATGTAAATGAAGTCTCCTATAATGAAATGAGTGGGAACATTTTGGACTTTTGTTAACTTCATAGTGTAAAAAAGATAATTCAAATAACTGCTTCTAACTCCTGAAAGATAGTTTTCAAAAACCTGATTAGAGACAGATAGATTTGGGGCTTTTGTTGAACTTAAACCTTCGATGAGAAATGTCTGTAAAATCCTCTTAGCCTTGGTGCCAAGCATGATTTGAGAAATGAAATCTTGAATGTCTGAAAGGCATAGACAAATTGAATTTAACATGGAAGGGCTGCCAATAGCTGGAGTTAGGCACTGTCTCTGAGCTGAAGAGCTATTGGAAGTGGTAGTAATTTTTAGTAAAACCAGTATTCAAGTAATGACACTTTAATGACTTCAGCCAAGGGCCAAAAAGAATAGAGAACAAAGTGGGACGGTGTAAGTTAAGCATGGGTCAGCTGGGCTATCTCATCACCCTTGTAGTTCTGAACTAGTGAGTAGGAACTTAACCACCAGCTTTACCCAGAGTTAACAGTGGGATATTTGTTAGACGTACATTTTTATATGCTTCCAAAAATGACCTGATGTTGCAGGTGGTCTTGCAAGTGCCCGTAACTGCACTTCACCAGATTTTAGGAAAAAAACATCTTTAGAAGCTGAGACAATCAACTTTCTACTGTCCCCCACTGTTTTCTGAACTGCAGTTTGTGTGCTGAGCAGGTAGAATAATGCAAACAAAACAACGGTACATCATGTGAGGAGCGATTGTGTAGTCCAAATTGAATTGTAGCACCTCCAGAATTGCAGTATTTACTTAAGATACATTTGCTGAAAGGATCACCAGAAGACATCAGGATAAGCATGTGTGTTATACCTCCAATTGGATGCTGATGAGGAGAGGATATACAATGAATATAAATATAATTGTAGGTGACATGAAGAGGCACATGAGCCTTAGATTATTTTGTAGATCCAATCCAGAGTAGTGAGTAGTGTTGAAAATTAGCTGTTCCAATAGCAGATTGTTTGATCAGATTTTTTTTTTTTTTTTTTTTTCCCCCCCCTGGTGGAGGAGGAAAAGCTGGTTGTATTCAAAGATGACAGGGCGGGTCAGAGACTGGAGGACAAGCTGTGGCCATTTTCAGGAACGTAGCTGCCAAGGTGCCTGCCCCGGGCACGGGTGCTACGAGGTCGGGCAACGGCAGGAGAGTACAAAGCAGGGCAGGGTGTGCGAGGTGAGGAGCCCCAGCCGACAGCGAAACAGTCGCGGGGCTGTCACAGCTACTGGAGCAGAGCAACGTGCCACGTGCAACCCCCTTGGGGGCAACGAGGAAAACTGTGACAGCAGCAGGAGGGCACTGGGAAATTAAATGAGCAGGGAGCCCGCTGCAAAGCGAAGGGAGAGTACAGGGTAGATGCTGCCTTGCGAGTTCTCTGTTGTGCTCACGTACACAATGATGTGCAAGCATGGGCAGTACCCAACACCTGAGATCCTGAAATAATTTGCATATGTGAAAGGTAGAGGCCTTACAGGGAACGGAGGTCTGGTAGTCTCTATTTGTGTTACATTACAGGCATGAGCCATTAGATAAGGTTGAAGAATCTGTCTCTCGCTTCATGAAAGCCTGAAAAAATAATTACACTCTTTCCTTGGTGGGTAATAGCTCAACAAAGCAGTAAGTAGCTTACAGCGTGCTGCTCACTCTCCTAGCTGTGATTTACTCTTCTGCAGCATTTCAGTATGCTCCTGGTTGTCAGCCTTGGGACTGGCTAATGCATTTACACTCTGAGTATTCATGTCTTAAAGCTCATGTTACGACACGTGTCCTATTTGATAGGAGTGAAGATGCCTGAAAATTAGCCTGATACCTGGAAGTTTGTCCTTATGTTCAGGTGCTAGTAGACTAATAAAGGGCTGTCTAATCGAATGGAAGTGATCAAATTAAAATTCTGTGGCATTGGCATTTCCAAGCTAAAACTTAGAAGTCACAAATGGAGCTGGCTGGAAAAAGCCCAACTGACTAGAAACAGAGTCTGGG